GAGGATAACCTATTACTTGGACCAGAGCTAGTTAGGTAGGCCACAAAGAAGGTGGTATTGATTCGAGAGCGCATTCTTGCTGCACAGAGTCGACAAAAGAGTTATACAGATCAGCGAAGACAACCTTTAGAGTTTCAGGTCGGAGACTTAGTTATGTTGAAAGTATTACCGATGAAGGACATTTAGCGATTTGGTAGATGGGGGAAGCTTGCCCTGAGCTATATTGGTCCCTTTAGGATTATTGAGCGTATTTATAGATTAGATCTTCCAGCATCGATGTCGAGTATGCATGATGTTTTTCATATCTCGATGCTTAAGAATAATTTGTGCGATGATGAGTGGCAGAGGGTGATCGATGCACCAGAGATTGAGATCCAGAATGATTTAACTACCGTAGAGATCCCAGTATGCATTCTTGCTAGAGAGAATAAAAAACATAGAAATAAAGTTATTCCATTAGTGAAAGTTTAGTGGAATTGACATAGAGCCGAAGAGATTTCTTAGGACCGCGAGGAGGATGTACGTCGCGACTACCCACACCTGTTTGACCAGGTTAGATGTTGATGTTTGAGTATGATTCTATGCATTCATGTTTATATATGTTGTTTAGTCACATTTATATTTAACGCTAGAATGGGTCACTCAACACTTAGATCTTAATCATTCGAAACATATGGTATATATATGGGGGTGTTCCTTATTTGGATTTTTCATCCGACGTACTAGTTCCGTCTAATTAGGGGTTAAGTAAGAGTGCACGCATTTTAGATTGTTAAGTTTAAATGTTGCTTATGTTTTGAATCTGGGGATTAATGGTAAGAGATGTGTACATAAGGGTTTCCTTGTCTAGATTATCCCCTCTTAGTGCTTTTCTCATATTATTAATCTCTGCGATGCGATTGCGGAATTTTGAGGACAAAATTCTTTTAGGGGGGGGGGGGGGGGAATGTAAAACCCCAAAAATTTTGAGCTTATGAATCATGAATTGAATTAGTATGTGATTAATTACAAATATGTGGATATTTATTTTGATAAATATTATTAATTAGTGTATGAGTACACTAACAAGTATTTTGAGTGTAAACAAGTCAGCACATGAGAAAGAAACGAGTCGAAACATGTACAATGGCCAAAATCCTACGTATCTAGAATTTTGTGTGCCGGTCGAACGTCGCACACTCTACGGTCAACCGCCGATCGGGAAACCAGATTTTCCCAGTTTGAGTTAGTTTTGGGTATTTGAGGCCCATATTCATTTTTCTTGTTATATATATCTTTTGTTGATGGGTTTTTCAATATTTTAAAACCCTAACATCCACCAAACTCCCCTATAAACCCTAATTTGATTTTTGAGGAAGATTCAAAGGCTTTGGAGCGGGATTTCGGGTTGTTTTTGGCTTTTGGCTCAAGGATATACCTTGGCTTTGCATTTTACATGTTTTTCAACAAGTTTCAGGCGAGTTTCATCTCTGCTAATTCCTCTCCCTGTTTTAAAACATATTTAAAAGAGTTTTAGTAAGTTTTATAGACTAGGTCTTTTCACATTAAAGAGAATAAGAATGAATTTACAGAAGTGTTTTAAGATCTAAAAATGATTAAAAACGTTGTTTATCTGAATTTAGATGTTTTGTTCTTTGTTTTTGAGGTTTCTTACATGATTGAGGGTTTTTATGTGAGTTCTTGTGCAAATAATCATGCTTTATATGTTAAAATTGTTCCCGGAGATGTTAATATGTTGTTTATATAGTTTCATGCAAGTTTCATATTGTTTTAAACAAGTTTAATCACAAAATCACGACACGAACATAATCTGTGTAGAAACCTACATGTTTTGAACAGATCGCGCTCGGTCGACCACCGCACACCTTACGGTCGACCGCACACCAGACCAAGGCTTGGGAGGCTTCTAGTTATGGTTTCGACCGTCGCATACTCTGCGGTCGACCGCCAGTCTGGTAGTGGCCTGTGCATTTTTTGTGATACACTGTTTTGATTTTCAAGAGAGTTTCTCAATCTTGTATTGTTATATTATGATGCTTAAGACTTGTTTAACACCTAGGATGATGGTGAACACAAGATATGGATACGCACACCGAGATATGTGTGCGTACACTTAGTTTATGTTGTTTTGACACATGTTAAGTTGATGAAAGTGAATTAATATATGTTAAAGTATTACTCATCAGTTATGAATGCTCAGTGTAGATGTTTATCCTATAATGAGATCTCGGTTGTACCACACTAGGAGTATTTGGATGTTTTTCCCATAACGAGACCTCGGTTGTACCAAATACTCGAAGATAATCGGTGTATGTTTTTCGGGTTGGGCTGAGGTACCTATTCACCATTGTACGATCATCTGGAAGCATATCCAGAAATAGGGAGATAAAACCAATTACCACAGGACTAATGAGCATATCCGAAAATAGAGAGATAAAATCTATTTGCCATAAGGATGATTGAGTAAGGAGGTTGTATCCGATATCTGCATAGTATCGTGCGAGCCTTACAAAAGTATCGTTATTTTATGTATCCGGAATAGGAAGATAAAACCTTTTGTCGTAAAACGATTGAGTAAGAACCTTACAAAAGTATCGCTATTGTACATGGAGATGCGTGCGCCGCGCGCACACACACACACACACACACACACACACACACACAACACACACACACACACACATCACATATATATATATATATATATATTATATAATTATATATATATGAGAAATATGAGTATGTTGGTAGTGAGTGTCAAATCCCCCTCCACTCATTTCAATGTTGGAACAAATTTACATGGGTAATGAGTGGATGGGGATGTGACACATCACTACCAAGCATAAATTGTCATGTGCTATGGTATCAACATACCCATATTTCTCTCTCTCTCTCTCTCTCTCTCTCTCTATATATATATATATATATATATATATATATATATATATATATATATATATATATATATTATATATATATATATATATAATATATATATATTATAGCAAAAACTGTAGGAGCGCTGGCTAGTTCTCTTAATCGTGCGCTACCTGGGTGTTTTTGAAAAATGGACGCGATTCACATAAGATGTCAAACGCTGGCCACAGCTCTCTCTCTCTCTCTCTCTCTCACTCTCACTCTCTCTCTCTCTCTCATCTCTTTCTCACCCCAAAAGAAATCAGATCCCCAAATCTCTCAGATCCCTCTTCCTCCCTATGACGATCTCCCCCTCTCTCTCACTCCGACGCTCGTGACCCTAGACCGACGGCACCGCCACGAGATCCAGCCCTTCTCACTCCTCTTCCTCCCCATGATGCTCGTGACCCCAGACCGATGGCACCACCACGAGATCCAGTCCTTCTCACTCTGACGCTCGTAACCCCAGACCGACACTCGTGACCCCAGATCAACGGCACCGCCACGAGATCCAGCCCTCTCCGTCGCTCGTGACCCCTGACCGAGCAGCGCTCCACAGACCATCGCCCTCTCTCTCACTCCGACGCTCGTGACCCCATCCACCACCACCACCGACCGAGCACCGCACCGCCACGAGATCCAACCCTCTCTCTCACTCTGTCGGTCGTGGCCCCATCCACCACCGCTTGCAGATTTCTTTTTGCTCAGCTTGCAATCTACCCAACTTGCAGATTTCTTTTTGCTCTTACCTACAAAAAAGAAAATAGAACGTCAAGACAGTAGGATAACTAACTCAATATGCTATTATGACTGTCAGAGGGCAAGTACAAAATAGGAAATCTGGAAGAAAGGGCAAGTTGGTGTTGAAAATGCATATAGGCCAATTCTATATTTGAAAAAAACTAAACAAATAAGAAATTCACAAAAAAGCTAAATATGAAAAAAAAGAAATTGTACCTTGGCAAATTGACTTTACAGCTAGTTCTATAATGCCCTAGTTCACCACATCTGCTACATATACGCTTCTTCCTCTCTCTTTTTTCTTGTGCTTGTTCAAAGCCTGACTGAATTCTAGTAGCATTGCGTGACCGACCTTTAGTCCTTGCAGGTTTTTTAGGATCACGAACTGTAATCTGAGGAATGTGCTCCATTGTATGTGAAATGGGTGCTGAAATCTGAGGATTATCTTCTGTTTCTCTAACTTCTTCTTCAAGTGATTCTATGAATTTTGTTAACACATTATCTAATTTCTGCATCCTCTCTTCTGAATCAAATGCAAGCTCGAGCGCATTATTGAATTTTGCTCTTAAAGCCCAAGATTTCAACAAATTAATCTTCTCTTCACAGCTTGTGAGGTTTCTTCCAAATACAATATTGCCAACCCCAATGTTACGATGTTGAGCATGTATAGTCCAACAGTGTAGGATATAATGATCGGGTAATGAAGAAATTTGCCTAGCCATCATTAGCGATAATATATGTCTACATACAACACCATTAGTTTCAAACAAAGCACAAGTACAAATGAATTACATCTTACTGGATTGTTCATAAGTAACCACCTCCCATTTTCCTCTATCTGCAAACTTACAAATCTTGTATTCAACAATGTCCCTATCTTTTCTCAATTCTTCACAAAACTCTGTACCAAATCCTTTGAATTTAGTTTGGAACACATGAAACATGTTGCGTGTATACATTTCTCCAGCTTGGACCTCAATCGGATGTCCAAGGAGCATGACAGGCTTTGTGTTAAGACTCTTAAAATCTTCATGTGCTTCACTTAAGCGACGATGAGTTAATGTTTTTTCATATTGTATCACAAACTCATGTAATTGAGTTTGTGAGTTAACATACCCATCAAAAAATGCATTAATACTTTCACTTCTTTGGCTCGATCTCATTCCAGCAAAAAAAGTGTCCTTCAAATAACATGACACCTAATGTTCTCGATATTTGTAAACAGTTTGCAACCATCCATCCCCTTCTTCATTTATATCAAACTTCTCATTCATCTCTAGCCAATATCCTTCACATTGTTCAATTGAAGAACTATTACACTATAAGCCCCAATACCTTTGAAACTATTCACCATAACGAGAAACCAAAGTAGGCAAATGATCAGTAATGTGCTTTTGCATGTGCCAAAAGCAATAACGATGTCTTGTCAGTGGAAACACAGAGTGAATAGCATTACACATGGCTCTATCCTGATCTGTTATAATAGCACCTGGTTCAACCCCATGCATGCATTTCAGCCATTCTTCAAATAACCACACAAAAATATCTTCTTGTTCATCAGCTAATAATGCACAACCAAGTAAAGTGGATTGTCTATGATGATTCACACTAGTAAATGGAGCAAATGGAAGACTGAACTTATTAGTTCTGTATGTCACATCAAACACAACAACATCACTGAATTGCAAATAAGACGCTCTTGATCTTCCATCAGCCCAGAAAACACTCCTCATTTGTCCACTACTGTCCACTTCTATTTCAAAATAGAATTCTGGATCATTCGCTGTCATACTCTGAAAGTGTTTTATGATAGATATGCATTCATGGCCAATATTGTTGACTCTCTGGTATCTGATGTGATTAATACACTGTTGTGGTGTCACTAATTCGCCTTCTCTTCCAGTGGTTGCGTTAATGACGCGAGAAATAATGGATGGAGGCATACCTTCTTCTTGCAGACTCTCAATAAGTATTTTACAACTTTGAGATTTATGGAATTGTTGGTGTGATCTGTGCATCTTTGCTTTGTCTGGACTACTCAACACATGATTTGTATGTTCTTCAACAAACCCTGTGACCTCCCACGATTTGTCCTCCAATACTTTAACTCTCATCATTGCCTTACATCCCACTCGGGTTTCTCGCCGAAAAGGCATCTCCATCTTGTCTCTATTAGATCTATAACCCTCCTTATCACAAACAAACTTTCTGTCCAGCACGTCTCTTGTCTTCTTCAAATAATTTACCGTGCTCTTCCTTATTCCAAAACCCATCAACAATGTGTAATGGTTATAATAGTTATAAGCTTCTTCATAAGTATTAAATTTCATTCCGAGTAGTGGCTTAGGAGCATTTTCTGTACTGGCAAGAATTTCAATTCCACTAGCATTGGATTCTCTCATTTCGAACACTTTTTTTGCTGTAAAAGAGATGCATGGATTCATCAAGAAACAACTATAAAATACCTAAATATCAACTTCAGTTTAAACTCTCAAAACAATCTAGTGTAAATCTACTATAGTCATTAGCATATAAAATGTCTGAAATGCCCGTGAATAAAATGCCTCGGCCGCGGCGGCCGTGAATAAAATTTCAGAATAGGTTTAGGGATTTATTAATTCAATTATTGTTAATTAATTTAGTTTAATTTGTTAATTAGAATTATAATCTGACAAAGGCTAAACTTTCTGTAGAGCTAATTTTCTAGTGTAGGAGGCGAATACTTAAGAGATTAAAAAAGAAAGAAAAATTTTCTAGCACATTTTGATACTAATGCATGAACTTTCTAATACCCAGAGTTTGTAAACGAACTGAGGTCTGAGAGAGGAGCTCACGCAGAGGAGGAGGAGCTCGAGGAGGGATTCGTGCCGGGCCTCTGGAATTCGTGGAGGAGGAGCTCGTGGCTGAGGTCTGAGAGAGGAGCTCACACGAAGGAGGAGCAGATCGAGGCGGGATCGTAGTGCGTGCGGTGCTCGGTGGGTGGGTGCGGGGTGGATGGAATTCGACACGCAGCACGGGTCGAGAAGGGCTGGATCTCGTGCAGTGTCGTCGGTCTGGGGTCACGAGTGTCGGTCTCTGGGTCACGAGCGTCCGGAATGAGAAGCGCGTAGATCTCGGCGGTTTGCATCATCTGGGTCACCAGCGTCGGATGAGAGAACAGCTAGATCTCGTGCCGGGCGTCGGTCTCGGGTACACCAATGCAGCGTCGGGTGAGAAGGGCAGATCTCGTGCGTTGTTGTCGGTCGGGGTCACGAGCATCGTGGGCGAGGAAGAGGAGTGAGAAAGGCTGGATCTGTGGTCCGGTGCGTCGTCTTAGGGGTCACGAGCATCGGAGTGAGGAGAGAAGGGGAGTATCGTCGTGGGGAGGAAGAGCGGATCTGACGAGATTTTGGGATTTGATTTCTTTGGGGGTGAGGAGAGAGAGAGAGAGCTGTGGCCAGCGGTATTGCATCTTATGAGAATCACATCCTATTTTTTCAAAAACACCCAGGCACGCGCAGCGATTACAAGAAACTGGCCAGCGCTCCTACACGTTCTCTCTCTCTCTCTCTTCTCTCTCCTCTCTCTCTCGCATCTCTCTTCTCTCTCTCTCTCTCCTCTATATATATATATATATATAGTACTATATATATATATATATATATATATATACTATATATATATATATATTTATAATATACTATTATATATATATATATATACTATAATATATATATATATATTGTAGTTTGCTCCACATGTGTTAGATTACTGCCTAGTAGTAGGGTACATCCTTTGATTACTATGGCACTTAATGCATATGAGCCATGGTGACTTTGGCTGGTGATCTTCTTTGTATGTGCGGCTATCCGAGCGTAGTTCGCAGATGTGAATTGTCGTCTATATATTAAGGCTTTGGAGTATTTTTTATTGTGTTGTTTTATATTCAGAGTTTAGTAGATTGTATTTAGGGATTCATAATTAAACAGGTAATACATCGCAGGGTTTCGAATGTCTGATTATTCGCTCGCATTACTAATTCTGCGTGTTCGTTAGATTCCTAATCAGGCCAATCTCCAGATAGAGTTATATGATTCTATACTTATATGTACTAATCTATTTTCTTATATACCCTATGCTCTTTACCCTTGTGGCGCGGTTAGAGATGATCTCGCTAGCGCCTTTGATGCTCGTTGTCCCCTTGTTAGGGCGCGAGTTCGGCGCCACAAAGATCGTAGGTGAAAAGATTGTACCTCTAGATTCCATCTAGATTTATTATATTTGTATTTATTTCCAAAACTTCCACATTTTAGTGGGTTTTTATCAAGTCTGACTTATATTCAGTTAGTAGAGGTGGAGTGATTGGTGAGATTTATTGACTACATTATGTTGAAGATATTATTCTAGACTCAGAGATATTTTTATTTATATTTCAGTGGCTCATTTTTTATTATTTACGCTTCTCTGTGCTATCTAATTTTATTATATATTCCATAGTTACTTATTTGTACCTACACCTATTTATTGACTCTTCATAGAGCAGATACACGGACTGTGATGAGGTGTAACGCCCCGCGCCCCGGAATCCCCGGTTATCGATGCTATAGCATCTGATGACTGGAACCTCACAAACCACCACATATCTATTTAGCACGGTTTTTCTCCTTCACTCACGCTCCCCTGGAAAACTTCCAGGAGTCCACCACTCTAGAATTTCTCCATACCAAACCACGCTAACTGTGGAGTCTAAGAGTTGGTTCCCGAAAGAACGATGCTACTATGGTGGTATGAGTATTCAATCAAATCTAATCAATACTAATCACAATCACCCTCTCAAGGGGTTGGGTATATACAATCTCCCCCACTTAACTCACAACGCCATCTCTCTTCTTCTATATATATATATATATATATAGTTGTAGTTTTGCTCCCATGTTAGATTACCCTTGAGTAGGGTACATCCTTTGATATATGGCATACATGATATGAGCCATGGTGACTTTTGAGCTGGGTGATTCTTCTTTTGTTATTGCGCCGGCTATCCGAGGGTAGTTCGAGATGTGATATTGGTTCTATATAGTTAAGGTTTGGAGTATTTTCTTTTGATTGTTGTTTTCATTTATAGAGTTAGAATTGATATTTAGGGAGTCATAAATTAAGACAAGGTATATACATGAGGGTTTTCATGTCTGGATTATTTCGCTCGACATACTAATTCTCGTGTTGTTGATTTCTAAATACCAATCTCCAGTTAGAGTTATATGAATGATTTTATACTTATATGTACTAACTCTATTTTCTTATATACCCTAGCTCTTCCCCTTTGGAGCGGTAGAGATGATCTCGCTAGCGCTTTGATGCTCGTTGTCCCCCCTTTTTAGGCAGCGAGTTCGGCGCACAAAGAGTCGTAGGTTGATAAGATTGTACCTTAGATTCCATCTAGATATTATTATATTTGTAGTTATTTCAAAACTCCACATTTAGTGGGTTTTTATCAAGCTCTAGACTTATATTTCATTATGTAGAGGCTGAGTGCATTTGTGAGATTTTATTTGACTCATTATGTTGAGATTTATTTCAGACTCAGAGATATTTTTATTTTATTTCAGTTGGGCTCATTTTTTGATTATTCTTACGCTTCTTCTGTGCATATCTAATTTTATTATATTTCCATTAGTTATCTATTTTGTACCTACACCTATTTATTGACTCTTCTAGAGAGATAACGACTGTGATGGTGTGTAACGCCCCGCCCCGGAATCCCGGTATCGGTATGCTACTAGATCTGATGGACTGACCTCACAAACCACCACATATCTTTTTAGCACGTTTTTTTCCTCACTCACGCGTTCCCTGGAAAACTTCCCAGGGGGTCACCCATCCTAGAATTTCTCCATACCAAACACGCTTAACTTTGGAGTTTCTAAGAGTTGGGTTCCCGAAAAGAAGATGCATCTTGGTGGTATGAGTATTCCAATCAAATCTATCAATACTAATCACATCACCCTCTCAAGGGTTGGGGTATTACAATCTCCCCACTTAAACTCACAACGTCCTCGTTGTGCCAAACTATATCATCCAAGACCGTACCATCCGTGTGAGATTCTAGATGTGGCTCCTACGGCCTCAAGAGGTGGCTCCCGCCCTCTCGATGTAGCACTTTGCGCCGCATAGAATTTAGCTCTCATAATTCTGGTTGGCTTGGCTCTGATACCATTTGTAACGCCCCGCTCCAGAATTCCGATGTCGGTACGCTACTAGATCTGATGGACTGGCCTCACAAACCACCAAATGTCTTTTTTGCACGTTTTTGTCCTCACTCACGCGCTCCCTGGAAAACTTCCCAGGGGGTCACCCATCCTAGAATTTCTCCAGGCCAAACACGCTTAACTTTGGAGTTTCTAAGAGTTGGGTTCCCGAAAAGAAGATGCATCTTGGTGGTATGAGTATTCCAATCAAATCTATCAATACTAATCACATCACCATCTCAAGGGTTGGGGTATTACAGATGGTATAACATGTTGTAGCATGATGTTGGTGCTTGGCAGGTTTAACAATCCGAGTTTTACCTTGGACTGCAGCCTTGTGTGAACCCTAGGACGTCACAAGAACCTTTTAAAGATTGAAGATCACGGATTGGAGATCAAAGATTTGAGGATTTGCTTGTGGAAACTCTTCTTTCTAGTATTTTTAATTCCAACATTGGCTACTTTCTCACAATTAGGGATAATTAGGTTCTAAAAAAAGATTTTATTTTTATCAACTATAATAAAATTCACCCTCCACTTGGACATTTACTAACAAGATAATAAATTCAAACAATATCTCCCTTCCTCACATTTGTTTGATTGTTAACCCTAATTAAAAAAGATTTTTTTTGCATCCTTTGTAGTTGCTTTGAATTCCTACGGTTGCATTGCATATCGTAGTAGGAATTCACCCAAGTGATTTGAGAATCTTGATTTGACACACACTTAAAAATATTCTTAAGGGTAAAATCCCCTAATCAAGATAAGCTCTTTCCTCAGCCCACAAATTACTAATTCCTCACTACACAAACCCCAATCATTTTAAAACTCATTAGATGTTGACCTCTAAGGATTCAAGCTCATTAAGGAATAAGAAATCCCTAAGTGAACCGGTTCAAATTTACTTGAATTAGTTGGTGTCTAAGGTAGAGATTAGGGGTTGCGTAAAGCGCTCCGTAAGAAACGAGGTACTTAATTGATCTTTAATCTCCCTTTAGTACTATTCTTACCTGGGTAACTGACCGAGTAAAATTTAATCTTTTCACTAAATGAGTTTTTGGTTAGGAGCTGGTCTAATTGAGTTTAGGCTTAACCCTAGAATTTGGACAATCAATGGAGCGATTATGTTAACTGACACCTGGAAATCAAGAACTTGAAGCTAGTCGAAAGAGAAA